TAGTCCTAACATATAAATCTTTAAGATACTTTATCTTTAGACTACTTTTTGTACAACCTCTCTAATTTCCCTTCCTTTCCCACCTTCTACTCCTCTATTTTTTATCGAATGTGAAAGTAAGGGTAAGTCAATGGTTACTTTTCAGTATGACCACCATCATTAATACTCTGAGCCTAAAATTGATAGTATTAGCACTACCACCCACCTTAGTCAGAACTGCATAATGAATAGGAGAGGAACTAACATTCCTTGTCCAGGAGGGCACACTCGAACTGTCCTGTGGCCCCATATTGTCTGAATGGCCAGCCATTTGTTAATATGTTGTTATTCAGAGTTTAGCCCAAATCAATCGTGGAAACGTGTTACTTGCATGCCTTCCTATCAGTTGGATTGTTATCAACAACAATAAAAACTCTGTTGATACGCAGATTATTTGCTTGTATGTATATGTCTAAGCAGTGGGACTCAACGTGCACAGCAGCGGGAGAAAGTCCCAGCCTTTTCAGACCTTTGTAGTACCTGCTTCACCCATTCTAGGCTTGTCAAGAGATTCCTTGAACACATGGCTGGTCACAGTTGATCTTTTACGGGGAAATGTGATATGTTCTTTCACAGCTAAGACAATAAATAAGGTAGAGCAGTTCCCAAACTAAGGAGCAATTGCCCTTGGTTACATGTCAAAGAAACTGTCTTTGATTCAAATCCATCATGATGGTAAAATAATGAAAATTATTTAGTTGCACACCTGGGAGCCCAACTAAGTGAACATTTTCACATGGAAATCCCTCTGATCAAGACATAAGCAGTGCTTCTCAAACTTTCATGTGTATGCCAGTCACCCAGACATGATGTTAAAATGTGCATTGTGATTCAGAGACCTGGAGCGGGACCTCAGAGTCTGCATTTCTAACAAGCTCCCAGATGTTGCTGATGCTGATGCATAGCACCTAGGAGGGGCCTAGATACAGATTTCATTCATTATATAGTTGTTTAATAATATAATAACC